ATTGCCCAACCTTCCTTCCGAGGAGTGGCTGGTGGGTTTGAACCGCCAGCCTTCTGGTTAGCAGTCAAGTGCCTTAGGCACTATGCTACCAGAAAGAGAATGATAATATAGGAGCTCTGGTAGCATAGTGCCTAAGGCACTTGACTGCTAACCAGAAGGCTGCACTCCTCGGAAGGAAGGTTGAGCAATCTACTTCCATAATGATACCACCTTGGAAACCCAAGGCAGGGTCACTATGAGTCGGGTCTGACTCCACAGCACATAACAACAACAACAACAATACAAAATAATATGAAAATTTAGGCAGAGAGTAGATGTTTGATTGAATTGTGTCCCCAGAAAATGTGTCAGCTTGGATAGGTCATGAGTCTTAATATTGGGTAATTATCCTCTATTTTTGTGACCTAATGTAATTATCCTATGTATGGTAAATTCTAACCTCTATGACATTAATAAGCCAGGACAAGGCAGTTATGTTAATGAGGCAGGTCTATCTTGAGTCAATTTATTTTGAGACACAAGAGATTAAACAAGGGAGCAGAGAGAGGGAGTTTTTACCACCAAGAAAGAGCAGATGTGCTCTTTGGATCTGGCGTTCCTGCTCTGGGAATCAACTAGACCCAGGGGAAGATTGATGCAAAAATTTATGGAGATCCTCAAAGGACACGGGGCCCACAGATATTGAAAAGAGACGAAGACTTTCCCCTAGAGCCAACAGAGAAATAAAGCCTTCTCCTAAAACTGGCAACCTGAATTTGACTTCTAGCCTCCTAAACTATGAGTGATCCTATTTATTAAAGCCACCCACTTGTGGTATTTTTGTTATAAAATCACTAGATAACTAAGATAGTAGCCTTCTGCATATGCTTACAAAGATCAGTTAATACTACTATTGTTCACACACCACCAAAGCCAAAGATGAGGAAATTGAAAATTTTTACCAACTTCTGCAGTCTGAAATTGACCAAACATGCAATCAAGATATGTTGATTATTACTGGTGACTGGAACGCAAAAAATTGGAAACAAAGAGGAATCACCAGTAGTTGGAAAATATGGTCTCGGTGATAGAAATCACACTGGAGATCACATGATAGAATTTTGCAAGACCAATGACTTATTCATCATAAATACCTTTTTTGACAACATAAATAGAGGCAATACACGTGGACTTCACCAGATGGAATACACAGGAATCAGATTGACTACAACTGTGCAAAGAGGCAAGAGAGAAACTCATTATGTTCAGCCAAAGCAAGGGCAGGAGCTGACTGTGTAACAGACTATCAACTGCTCATATACCAGTTCAAGTTGAAGCTAAAGACAATTAAAACAAGTACTCAAGAACAAAAATATGGCATTGATAATATCCCACTTGAATTTAGAGACCATCTAAAGAACAGATTTGACACATTGAACACCAATGACCAAAAA